ACAACAGCTGCAGTGTTATATAACAGCTGCACAGTGCTATACTGGATGTGTGGAATAAAAAAAGTTGAATATATATTTTTATTTCCATTTTAGTGCTGTGCTGTGACATTCATTGAAAACCTAGATGCCCAATCATTGTCGATGTCGCAGGAGGAATATGATAGTTACATGTCTGGTGAGGTCATACCCGCCGGTACCAAATTTGGAGAACCAATATGCGAAGGTTTAAGACTTATGTATGCTAATTTAGCCACGTTGGATGAGCTAAGAATACGCCAAGATCGACTACGCGAAAATGCATTGAGTTTGCAACAAGAAATCAAAGATTTTCGAGACAGCGTTGTGAAGACAGTGCAAGACGTGCTAACGACAAAACCTTTTATCATACAGCAACCCAGAATGCCGGCTAACTTAGATGAAGAGAATGCGGCTGAGTCCAGTCTGCTTCCTCCTCCTCTCAAACCTGAAGTGGTGGCAAAATAATGAGAAGCGCATGATAATGCCACTGTAATGACTACCGGTATACTGATATGTAAGGATGGCACGTGGCATTTCTACCATGTTAGGCTTATTTTGCCCATTTTGGGCGTGTTAAGTTAACATAGATAGTAAATAAATTTTCCTCCTCCTTCTTCCTTACCATTTCACAGATGTTTTATTTTTCTAGATTGGTCTGTCCCATGGTTATTTCCTGTCTTGACAAAGGTGCATTGTTTTTTTGATTTATTGAAAATTAATCCATGTATTAACATTGTATGGTGACGGACACTGCCACATTTTATGTGTGGCTGTTAGATTTCATACTTATGCAAGAATTCTCTATTCAATTTGAGGTAACATGAAGCTACTTACTTATTTAAATGTATGGATAGACACCCTGTGGATTTAAACAACCACTATAATTGTATACCGCCCTCACATGATGTCTATGCCAGGCAACCTCTGTTCATAATGGACTTTACCATTGTTGTGTTAAGGGGTGGGTAGCATTGCATTTGTGGGACTTTGTATTATTTATATTAACTTATTGCATGTTTCTACCTTAGTACTGTATTATAGAACTTTACTTCACACACTATGCTGACTGTAATAGTTAAATAGATTTCAAAAAATATAAATTCTGCTAAAATTACTGGTACTTAATATTTTTCCTGGATGTATTGGTAGTATGGTACTACAATAGTTCATATACATGTTAATGACTTTTTAGTAAATGTCAAAATGTAGTTGGGGTTAAAGGCTAAAGGTCAAATGTAAGAGGTCAGTCCATGTTAAGGAATTATGATCCCCTAAAATAACAAAATTATATGAGAAATTGTTTGGACATTAACAATGATAACAATAACAAAAATGGATTGCACTACGGTAGTTTCTAGTTTTTTATATCTCCATATCCTTAAAGGGCGACAGTCGTCGTGTCACGTCCTGTTTGATATGGGACTTGTAGCGATGTATACAACGCATGTAAATTACATTGTTTATTTACATGAAATTTGAACACGTGCTGTGCAACGACCACCGCCGCGATTTAACGTAAAGCGAGTTGCCATTTTAAAACATGCACGACCCCTGAAGGTCACATATCCTGGTACTTTCCTGGGGTGATAAAGTCACTATAAAAAAAAATTTCCCAATTATTTAAAAAAAAACACACATTCACATTGAAGTTCAAAAACATTTTAACATGGTAAAATTAAAGTGTATATGGGGAAATTATTGCTGTCATAGCCAGGATGTGTATGGACTTCTGGGATCATGAATAAGTGGGAGAGATCACCAATTTTTGTTGCTTAATCATAGATATATTGCTGTGTAGTCTATATATGTGGCAAATAGAATGCCAATCCAGTAACGGTGCAAAACGGAGGATCGTTTATCCTTAACATGTTCTGGTGAGAAACCAAACAATCCATCCAGTAAGGAATATTTTAAAAGTGGAACGTTGGGTATTGGCTGTTTTGCAAAAATTTCTCGATTGCCACACCGACCATGAAAACAGATCTCTCTTTACTGTCAGAAAGACTGACTATTTTAGATAGTTGATTTTATGATGAGAACAGTTTAAATTTTTAATACTTGCTCAATCTATTTCACATTTACATTCTTGGGTCATTTCATTTTGTAATAGATGAATGTATAGGGATGGTGGGAGTACTATTAATGTATAATGATTACAACAACTAATGTAATATACTTGTACCCTTTCACCAGATAAGATTGTAATATTGATGCCAATTTTCCCTAAAATAAATTATTTTTGTCAAGTCAAGCTGGTTTTCTACTCGATGAATTGGCATCTGATTTTGCCATTTAGATGTGACAAATCGACATTCTGACAATAACATGACCACTCCTGCAATGTGACCATCATCATGCACATCCTATACCAGAACCAGTCATACTGTGTGGCCATCATCCTATACTATAACCAGTCATACTG